AACATGGCTCAGAAAAAGATTTTTAAAAATAAAAAAGAAACCCACATTCCTCTGACAATTCACCCCTCTCAATAATTCCAGGTTGTTTTTGTTTGTTTGTTTGTTTTTTGCCATCCCACCCAATGTCCAGTTAGAATACTACTCTTTGAGGCCATTAAAACTACTGCAAATATGAATACCACATTACATTTTAAAGCACATGAAACAGTGTCCTTGGCAGGAGGTCAGACATTTCTGGCTTTGAAACTCTACTCTTAACAATTACTAGCTCTATGATTTTGACATGCAACTTAGCTCTCTGGATCTCTCCTGCTGTGTACATTCCAGTGAAGATTTCCTTTTAAGTAGGGCTTTAATGAGGGTTAAATGTCAAAATACATGTAAAAGCATATGTTACCTATTGAAATATTCACACATTAACATATATTAATTTCCTTGTATATAATACCAGCAAATACATTTTTCATCTTCATTTATTTCTTTCAATAATTTTCCAAACTACAAATTAAGAGACTGTACACTCCAGTAACTATACAGGAGCATACAGTAGGTACTAAAAAAATGCTTAACTAAGTTATTACATATACAAGCTACTAGATCAAACAGTGACATGATTAAAAAATTAGTAAATAGATATCATCATCACTGAAAGTACATATATTTCTTTTCTTGAAGTATCAAAAGCAAAAAAAGTCACAGACAGACCCTGTGTTTTCATCTTTCCAAGTCAATTTTCCCTTATGCTATGCACGCAACACAGAAGAGTTTAAAATGGAGTGAGGGAGGCTGGCAAAAGGAAAATAAGAGAAAGAACTATAAATCCAAGAAATACCATGTTCCTTGAACATTTAAAAACTAATTTTCACTTCTTTGCGGTATTTAGTTAATTCTTTATTTTGAACTTTCACCGAAATTCTTTACAGGCAAATATCTGTGTCTATGTTCTCTTTCCTGCTTAATGATTTTTCCTAAGTTGTACAAAAATGCTATGTCTAATCCCTGCACTATTAAAAGCCTCAGTAATCCCAGCACTTTGGGAGGCCGAGTCGGGTGGATCACGAGGTCAAGAGATCGAGACCATCCTGGTCAACATGGTGAAACCCCGTCTCTACTAAAAATACAAAAAATTAGCTGGGCATGGTGGTACGTGCCTGTAATCCCAGCTACTC